TTTCTGAAGAAGGTTCTAGGCCCGAAACGTCAGCCTTCCTGTTCCTCTGATGCTGCTTGGCCTGCTGTGTTCATCCAGCTCTACACCTTGTTATCTCAGATTCTCCAGCATCTGCAGTTCCTACTGTCTCTGATGCAATTTTAACCCCGGTCAAACTAGTTGTTTGCCGGATTGAGCACTAGTTAAGGCCAATGTCTGTTGGTTATTTGGTTGCCTAGAATGCTAGTTAAGATAGTTAACTGACTCCTAGTCAAGGTAGTCAATTATTCGATTGAACACTAGTTAAGTTAGTTGAATGCCTGATTGAGAATGAGTTGATTGCTAGTTAAGTGGTAAATTGAAGGGGTAGAGTTCTTGTGGTGTGCTGGTGGTGCTCCTACCTCTGATCTAGGAGGCCTGGGTTCAAGCCCCACCTGCCTCAGAGGTATGTTATGACAAATGGATTAGAAGCTATTTAATTGAGAAGGATCAGTTGGCTGGACAGCTAGTTTGTGACGCAGGGTGATGCTAACAGTGCTAGCTCAAACCTGGCTGAGGTTACCATGAAGGATTCTTTTTATCAACTTCTTCCCTCACCTTGAGACATGGGCACTGCCAGTTATCTCTAATGAGAGCAGCATTATGATCCAGTAGGACTTCACCTTGTGTAATTGTATGGAGCTGAGAAAGTTGGTTCAGAATGTACAGCATTAATATTTCTCATCCCTCATGGGAACATGGAGAAATCATGAACCAGGTGGAAAAATTGGTGATTTTGAGAAGTATAGACAGTACACTAGAAGTGGAAGAAATTGAAGAAAGAATTGCCGCGAGAATAGAATAACCAGTGTGAAATATGGTAGGACTAGAGAGATTACCACGATAGTTAGAGACCAGTTTGTCCTAACAGAATTTATGACTGAGATTCTGTTTACTTGCTTCCCTGAATTAGTAAATGTGTTAGACATATCCAGAATTGTTGACGCAATGTGCAAACATCAGCAGTAATTCAATGCAAATTCATGTTTTATAGGATAGATAGTGCAAATCCTTTCAGCTAATCTGTCAGCCAGCCAGTGACATCACTTGAAAAAAGAGAGAGAGTGCAACACAGGACACTTATTTCACCGGGATCAAACGGACTGCTTCACCTGTAACAAGGCAGCTTTTTGCTCTGCAAGTCAAAAGGTAAGATGCCACTTGGATCTGAGACAAGATAGACTGCTTCAAAAAGACAAAATACCTGTAAACCAGGTACAAAATAGTTAACTGGAAATGAGGATCAGGGACTGTTTCCTATTTTAACTCTAAATGTTGTAGTTCAGAGTATGAGGCCATGATTTAGACAGTTTAGTCGAATGAGTTCAGTTGAATTTGATCATCCTTTTTTACTGTGTTTCCTGTATTGTACATTGAACGCAACCTGAGAAATAGCTGAATTTCACTTTCAAGTGAGCCACTTACCTGATGATCTGTTAGGATTCCATGCCTAGTCTGTACTGACCTCCGATTCAGTTCTACAATGGATATCAGTGACCTTGATGTGGAGTATTGCAAAGCAATGTAAACAGGGCTTCTAGCCCTGATCGCTGCCCACTGGAGAGTGTGCAAGTGTCGGCATTGGGAAGTGACTGAGGTGGCCTCAGTTGTGATGGTTCTCCCTGTCCAATAGTCTGTGGACACTCTATTGTCTAGTAGATGAGGAACACTAGTGACCTGGGTCTGCAGTCCCATTCCTCTCACCCATGGCGGTCTCTCTGTGAACTTTGTCAGGGATTCCGTGGGGTTGTACTTGTATTGGGTTTTGTCTGCATGTTATTGTGAAATAATCAGTTTCTGGAGTGAAGTAATGTCAGGTATAGAAAACAAGGATCAAGTGAATCTCTTGAACAATATAAAGAGAGTAGGGGCATTCTTAAGAGGGAAATCAGGAGGGCAAAAAGGGGATGTGAGATAGCCATGGCAAATAAGGTTGAGGATAATTCAAAGAAATTCCACAAGTATATAAAGAGCAGAAGAGCAACTAGGGAGAGAATAGAGCCCCTTAAAGATCAATAAGGTTACCTATGTGTGGAACCACAAGAAATGGGAGAGATACAATCTGAATATTTTGCTTCAGTATTTATTATGGAGAAAGACATGGAAGCTAAACAACTCAGGGAAATAAATATTGAATGTCTTGAAAACAATCCACATTGCAGAAGAGGAGATGCTGGAGGCCTTAAAAAGCATAAAGGGAGATAAATCTCCAAGACCTGATCAAGTTATCCTTGGACACTGTGCAAAGCTAGGGGAGACATTCTGGGGCCTCTAGCAGAGATACTTATGTCATCTATATCCACAGGGGAGGTGCTGGAAGTCTGGAGGGTGGCTAATGTTGTGCCTTTATTTAAGAGGGGCTGTAAGGAGAAGCTTGGGAACTATAGATCTATGAGACTCACATCAGTAGTTGTTGGAGGGGATTCTGAGAAGAAAGGACTTCCGTGCATTTGGAGAGGCAAGGACTGATTAGGGATAGTCAACATAGCTTTGGGTGTGGGAAATTGTGTCTCACAAGCTTGATTGAGTTTTTTTTTGAGGATGTGAACAAGAAAGTAGATGAGGGCAGAGCAGTAGACATTCTCAACATGGACTTCAGTAAGGCCTATGACAAGATTCTGCGTGTTAGACTGGTTAGTAAAGTTAGATCACATGGAATTCAGGGACACCTTACCAATTGAATACAAAATTAGCTTGACAGTAGGAGACAGAGGGTGTTGGTGGAAAGTCATTTCTCAGACTGGAGGTTTATGACCACCGGTGTTCGCAGAGATTAGTGCTGGGTCCATTGTTGTTTGTCACTTATATAAATGATACGGATGAGAATATAGGAAGCATGATTATGTAAGTTTGGAAATGACACCGAAGCTGATGGTATAGTAAACAGTAAGGAAGGTTATCTAAGATTACAAAGGGATGTTAATCAGATGGGCCAATGGGCTGAGTGGCAGATGGAGATTAATTTGGACAAATGTGAGGTGTTACGTTTTCTAAGACGAACAAGGGCAGGACTTAGACAGTTAATGGTCGGGTCCTGGGGAGTGTTTTAGAACAGAGACCTAGGGATTCAGGTACATAGTTCATTGAACATTGCATCACAGGTAGACAGAGTGTTAAAAAAGATGTTTGGCATGCTTGCCTTCATTGCTCAGACCCATGAATTTAGGAGTTGGGACGTCATGTTGCAGTTGTACAGGACGTTGGTGAGGCCACTTTTGGAGTATTATATACAGTTTTGGTTGCAATGTTAGAGGAAGGATATTATTAAATTGGAGAGTGTGCAGAAATGATTTACAAAGATGTTACTAGGACTACAGGGTTTGATTTATAGGGCGAGGCTGGATAAACTGGGACTTTTTTCACTGGAGCTTAGGAAGTTGAGGGTGACCTTATTGAGGTTTATAAAATCATGAGGGCACAGATAAGGTGATCAGCAAAGTTCTTTACCCTAGGGTGGGGGATTTCAAAACTAGAGGGCATAGTTTTAAGATGAGAGGAGAAAGATTTAAAATTGACTTGAAGGGCAACTTTTCAGAGGGTGGTTTGTGTATGGAATGAACTGCTGGAGAAGGTGCTAGGTGCAGGTACGGATAAAACCTTTAAAATATATTTGGACAGGTACATGAAAAGGAAAGGTTTAGAGGGATGTGGGCCAAAGGCAAATGGGACTAGTTTAGTTTGGGAAACTTGGTTGGCATGGACGAGTTGGACCAAAGGGTCTGTTTCCGTGCTGTGTGACTCGATGACTTTATCTTTATTACATAGAGGAGCATTCATTTAGATTGCAGTTTATTACATCTCAGAGTACTTTACAATTAGTTGATTATTTTTGTCAGCAGTGTAGCAGTCAGTTTGGCAAGCCATCATAAAGAATAAACAATTAGTTTTGGCACTGTTTGAGGACTGAATGTACAACAGGACTCTGGGAGATGTTATCTGAGATGTTATCTATCCACAATATCTTGTGGACTGTGGTGTTGAATTATTAACTATGTTTTTTTTGTTTTTCTACTTCTTAGTAAGAAGGATTTAATATTTAACTTTTTAACTTTGTTTTCCTTATTTTTTGGCTTTCTACCTAAGATGGCATCGTAAGTGGCAACTTGTAAACTTTTCACTATACTCATGCGAGTATATGTGACAATAAACCTAATTCAATTCAATCTACCTGAAAGAGCTAACGTGGTCTTAGTTTAATATCTTATCTGAAAGACAACTTCAACAGTGCAACTCACTCAGTACTCCCCTCCCATGATGTGGCATAACCCCTCGCTGCTGCCCCTCTGGTGTTGTCCTCCTTTACTGCCCTTTCGATGATGCAATGTTCCCTCATCGCTGCTGCCCCTCCCTCGGTGCGGCATTAGCCCTTGCTGCTGGCCCTCTGCCAGTGCGGTACCCCTGTGTTTGCATTGGAGTGTTAGCTTAGATTTTGCGCTCAGTGCTCTTGAGACAGCTTGAATCCAAAATCTCTTGACCATGCTTTAATGTATTTCATTGGTCATGTGCTTGGGAATATCCTGTCTTCAAGCAAGAGTTTGGAAATCTATCATTTCCTGTCAACTGATGAGTTGTTGCGGTGACCAACTGCAGTACATGATCAACATTAAGAGGGATCTGGTCCTAGAAGACAGAATCTCCCAAATTGGTGTCAGAGCCATGTATACTCTCTCTGAGCCAAACTGTTAAATACTGATAACGGGAAAGGAATCAGTCATTGTTGACATGGAGAGTGCGTGAATCTCTGTGTCTCACTAAAGTTTAATCTTAGTGCACCCTGTATTGTCAATCTCTGAAGCCCCATTTCCTAACTCCAGCCTAGAACCATTATCCCCGACCTTGCTGACCTATACCAATTTCTGTTCCAGCTAAGGCTTAATTTTTAACATTCTCGATCCTGGTGTTCAGATGACCTCACCACTTCCTAATTTTGTGTAGCCTAACACTCCTCTGAGATCTGTCTGTTCCATTGATTCAGCCCTCTTGAGCAGCCCGCACTTTAAGAGCTCTGCTATTGGTGGCTGTGTCTTCAGTCCCTAATGTCTGGAAATTACTCCAAAATATCTCTGTCTCCTGTCTTTCCTCTTCTAAAATTATCCAGAAACTCCTTTGTACTGTTGAAACTTTACACAGAACAAGAAAGGTTGTACTCTGAAATCACCTATTATTTGGTTGACAATTTTCTGCTAAATTCTAGTCATTGGTATTTCTGCTTTGTGTTTGGCAGATGCGAGGTTCAGGTGATCAACCTAATTCTGCGACATCACGGCTACAGGTAAGAAACCATTAATCCTTTCCATTCTCTTCCTCAAACAGGAGAGCAAGTCACCTTTTTGGTTAACAGAGTGCAGTAAGGGTGTCTATGTATGTTGTCCAGGGCACAAGAATGAGTCAGAGGTGTCTGGGAATACTGCTCAGGGTTGAATGATGTAAACATCATGGGTAATCTTTCAATTCTACCTTCCTAAAGATGTGCTGTACTGTTCTAAGGCAGCATGAGTTAAAGGTCTTCCTCTCTGGGACCAGTTTCCTCTCAACATTGGTCACTGTGACCACAATATATCTGTTGACGGGAGTCTGTGGTTATGTAACTCATATTGAAGCTGTGCAAAATAGCACGGATGCACAGAAGTCAAATATAAATCAGAAGATTTTGGAAATATTCAGCACGTCATGTTAGCAGTTGTGGAGAATGAGAAACAAGTTAACTTTTCTGGTCTGCGACTTTTCAGGTTTTGATAAAAGGCCATGGACTTGAAATGTTAACTCTTTCTTTCTCCACCGATGCTGCCCAGCCTGCTGAGTACATTTGAGTACTTTGTCTTTATTTCAGACTTACAGCATTCATTGCTGAGGTGGTTTATGACTCCTAAGGGATGGGGTTACTGGAGTACAGTGTGATGATGGCGTGAGTGCATAATAGATAGGAAATGTGTGTGTGAGACATTAAAATCACGTATTTGTGGTCATAATAAGTCACGTGTGTTTTCCGCCACTTCTGTGTAAAACTAGCTACAACACATGGCATTTGCGAATGTGCAGCTAACCAGGGAAATCTACAAGTTTACTGGCAGTGATACCCTGCTCGTTGCAGTCTTTGCTGTTGTTATCACAGGATCAGTGAATTGATTTAAATTTCAACATTTTATACACAATTCTTGTTGTACTAAGCACTGGAACAGTTGGGCTTTCTTTGGTCAGGACAGGCTAAGATTTTAGGAGTTTATGGTGGCTAAACACCATTTCTGGTCCTGATACAAGTTCGGAGTCTTGATTATCCTTCTACGCCGTGGTAAAAATTTTAAAATAACAATATTTTTAATGTAATTTGTATTTTGGCTTCTGTCTTGTTCTTGTCTGTATGTTTCGATCTTTGTTTCTTGTAAAATAATTAAAAATGAATAATAAGCAGAATATTTCCTAATTTGATGCCTGAGAACTTTTCAGATGGTGATGACACTGTTCTGCATACCAGACATCCCATAAATCTGATGCTGGAATGCAATTGGCAGTGAAAAGGTTGGAAACGGTTTGATATAGGCTGTTAATTCTCTGTGAACACCATTCCTTTGACACTAATTTTGACCCCGTTGTTGCATGGTTTGTAGGAGAGACATGTCTGGGATTCTGTGAAGAAAGCTGCCTTCATCCTGGGCTCAGGACTCTTCGTGTTTGCAGCCTTCAGGAACACTGTGACCTGGTAAGTTGACAGAAGGAGGATGAGCCTGGAATTAGCACACAGCTCCGGTCATATGTTGTAGAAAGACAAATTCATGTCCAAACTCATTAATAGCAGCTCTCTCACGTGTGATCTCTATCTCCCTGTCATCTTCTCTGCCTCTCGCTCTCACTTCCTTTTGTGTTTGTGTGTCTCACTTTCCATGTATAGTAATATTGAAGGAGAGGAGGGTAAGTCATTGTGCAATGTTGAAAACTGTGACTAGGCCTGCTTCGCATCTGCCCTTGATCACGATGAAAAGTAAGTGCTGAGAAGTCTAAGTGAAGCAGACTAGCCGTCACTCGTTTCATATTGTCGTATCAGTCTCTTTCTTATCTCTGGACTGTGTATGTGGGACATAGTAACTAGTACAGTATGTGTGTTTGGGCACACGTGTGTGTTTGTGCTTGTGTGTGTATGTATACTATTACCAGGTGTCATTTCTCTTGGACAGAACTGAAAGTTATGATGCAGCGAATTGGGATTTGTCCACAATGATCCCACTTCTACTGAGAAAATTTGGCAGTAGAAGCCGGGATGTGAATGATTTGTGGAATTACTTTCCAACATTTTTCAGGCATTTGCAGCAGTTCTGGGGAGCTTCCGGGGACTTCTGGCAGTCACAGTGGGGAAAAGCGCACAGTTACTTCCAAGGCAACGAATGGGTTCTCTTCTTCCTCGGTGAGTACTGTGAGGTGCAGCAGATTATATTGGGTTAATGCAGCAAGTTGTTGCATGTTATAATGAACATTCCATTCAATTAATGAACATGGTGAGTTTCCTTCACAAGATAAACAGGACTAGTGTCTATGTGAGCAGAGTTTTCATCAGTTCTGTCCAGTATTCTTATCACTTGTTCCATTTACCTTGATTCAAGAAGACATGCTCCAAACAAATATGGGAGAATTCTCAGAATTTTTAACTTTTTAAGAAGGGCAAAAGTGTGGTGCAGTAAGATTGAGAGAGAATATTAAGTGTTATCTGTCAAGTTTTAAAAAACTGTCATTTATGAGTAAAGTCACCATAGTCATAAGTGGACCATAGGGCTGCACTCCCATTAGGTGGTGACTTAACCAGAGAGTTATCATGCTGCAGGCAAGGGGAGAGGTTGGGAGGGAGAATTTGTCATGATAACCTCAGCCAACGCAGGAATTGAACCTACACTCAGCATCGCAAACCAGCCATCCAGCCAACAGAGCTACAAAAGGGAGCCTGAAGGAATTGGGCATCAGACAACAGAGGAGAGGGTAGGAGGGCTGAAGGATGCCAGGAAGATTAAGGTACAGTGCTTTCAAAATTAAACAGTTATGTCAGAGCAAATATGGAGACTGTCTGCTATTTCCCAGTCCCGGAATTTTTGGGTTCCAAGAATGGCTGGCTCCGCTGTCTCTGAGGGGTCGGTTTTCCAAGATTTCTAAGTTTCTGGTCCCAGTTTTTGCCAGGATTCATTCCAGTGTCAGTCCTGAGTGAGTTGTCTTTCTGTCCCAGGTACCATGGTGATTCCAACTATGTCCTTCTGGATTTTGAACAGTCTCCTTCTGATTGTGGATGCCACAGGAAAACCTCAGCTGATTACACGCTACCGGATTCAGAGGGGCAGGAATGACCCGGTCAGAGTGGCTCTTCTAGCTAAGAACAATTCAATAACTTTTGCTGAATTGCCTTTTGGAAAAAAAATTACTATCTTTTCACTTCTATGCATTTATGGAATTTATCTTCAGTTTGTGTACAAAATGATCAGAAATATAGATAGAGTGAACAGCCAGAGACCTTTTCCCAGGGTGGAGGTAGCTATTACGAGGAGACATAGTTTTAAAGTGAGTGGAAGTAGATACAGGGGAGACGTCAGAGGTAGGTTCTTTACTCAGAGAGTGGTAGGGGCGTGGAAGGCATTGCCGGAGAGGGTAGTAGAGCCAGCCTCATTAGGGACATTTAAGCAGCTATTAGATAGGCATATGGATGATAGTATAAGGTAGGAGTGGAGGTTAGATAGACCTTAGGATTAGAGTAAAAGTTCAGCACAACACCATGGGCCGAAGAACTGTACAGCACAGTACAGGCCCTATGTTCTATGTTCTTGTCTCAGGTGCAGTGCAGTTCTCTCTCAATTCTACGTCAGACTCCCTAAAGACTGGGTTAGTGCCTGTAGGGTGTAAACATGGAGCAGCTAACATTTGGGATAGTGAATAAATGACTAAAACCTTGTCTTTTAAACCCCTCCCCTCATTTAAAGAATCATCAAATCAGTACACGGCTCTTTCAGCTCTTTTCCCAGATCTTTCTGCTTTTCTGTCAAAACTGCTTATTTTGGGAAGTTGCTGGTAGTGAGATTACAAACTGAATGAGATGACTCAGTTGTCGCAGCACAACATAGATGGCATAGGTTTAAGGTGAGAGGGGAAAGATTTTAAAGGGACCTAAAAGTGACATTTTCATGTAGAGGGTGGTGTGTGTATAGAATGAGCTGCCAGAGGAAGTGGTGGAGGCTGGTACAATTGCAACATTTAAAAGGCATCTGGATGGATTTATGAATAGGAAGGGATTAGAGGGAAACGGGCCAAATGCTGGCAGACTGGACTAGATTTATTTAGGATATCTCGTCGGCATGGACAAGTTGGACCAAATGATCTGTTACCATGCTGTATAGCTCTCTGACTCTATTTACCAAGTCCAAAAGCAAAATACTTTGGATGCTGGAAATCCACAATAAAAATGTAAAATACTGAAGTCAAGACAACATCTGTGGAGAGAGATACAGAGTTAACGTTTAAGGTCAATTACTGTTTTTTTTTGTTAAAACGACCTGTTGAAATGCTTACTCCACAAATTATCTGCTTTCAGCATTTTCTATCTTTGTAAGAACCCCAGGCTTGTGTGTTCAATAACCAATCTCTGCCAATCCATTGTAACTGGGTGTTATAGGTTCTGTATAAAAGAATTACTCCCAGATTGGAACAGGAGAGTTTGAAACTTTACTACTCCAGACATGGTTCAGCAACCCATAATTTACTGTGATTGTCTCAAATGTAGGAGCAGCAAATTCTGACATCTGGAGTGTAATGTTGGGTAACAGCAGGACAACAGTAAAGGATAATATTGGGTAAAACAGGGTAATGTGGGGTAACAGAATGAGGTACTGTTGGGTACTGTAGGTATTGTGGGATAATAGTACATGAAAACACAGCATGCAGAACACAGGGTCATAGTCAATAACAGGCTAACAATAATGGCTGTCAACACAGTGTGGAGCTGGAGGAACACAGCAGATCAGGCAGCATCAGAGGAGTAGGAAAATTGACATTTTGGGTTTTCACTCTTCATCAAGACTGGAAAGGGATGAAGGGAGCTAGGAAAGAAATGTGGGTGGTGGGACCGGGTAAAGGTAGGTGGAATGGTGATAGGTGGATGCAGGTAACCGTCTCAGCACCGACATCTATTTCAAACCCACCGACTCCCGTAGCTACCTTGACTATACCTCCTCTCACCCACCCTCCTGCAAGCATGTGATCCCTTAGTCCCAATTCCTCTGCCTCCGCCACACCTGCTCCCAAGACGGAGCATTCCACTCCTGGACATCCCAGATGTCGTCCTACTTTAAGGACTGCAACTCCACCTCCCACCCCTTTACTTGCATCCACCTATCACCATCCCACCTACCCTTCCCAGCCGCACCCTCCCCATTTGTTTCTGAGCTCCCTTCCCTACACCACCCCCCTCCCCGCCAAGTCCTGATGAAGGGTGTAAACCCGAAACATCGACTTTCCTGCTCCTGTGATGCTGTCTGACCTGCTGGGTTCCTCCAGCTCCACACTGTGTCGACTCTGACTCCAGCATCTGCAGTTCTTGCTTTCTCTAACAATAATGGCTGCCTAGGGTAATGTTAATGCACAGAACGTAAACAATAGCCAATTTGTTAGCAACTGTTACCATTCAGACGAACCCAGGATCTTGGTGTTGGCTCATCAGTCTTTGAAAGAAAGTTTTTAAAAACCAGAACACAGACAGAAAGCTAAAAGCTTATATGATTTCAGGCAGGAGTTTGACATAGCTTTTGGAGCTAAGGGAATCAAGGAAATAGGGGGAAAAGTGGGAGCAGGCTATTGAGCTGAATGATCAGCCATGATCATAATGAGTGGTGGAGCAGGTTTGGAGGGCTGAATGGCCTACTCCTATTTTCTATCTTTCTTTGAAAGACAGTCGCACAGCTGATTGAAAAGCAAGGATTGATTCACTGTTATCTGTGAGTACAGACTATGATTATATTTTCAAATGTTCTGTGCTGTTTTTCTCGTGTTAGTATATGTTTAGATCTTGGATCTGATTGAGATCAAACAGAATTGTGAAGCACGTTTTATTTGTTTTCCTCGCTCAAATAAATTCCATATTTGCTGAACCATAAAACGTACAATTTCTTCCTGGAAAGAAATTGTCATTAATGTTTGAAGAATGTCCAAATATTTTCTGCATTCTTCTTTGAATCTCAGTGCATCTTGTGCTGTGACAAAGAAGGTTTTAATTAAACTTTGCCTCTCCCAGCATAACTGTGGGCTGTGTTTGGAAACTGAAAATTCAAGAAAAACATTGCAAGTGTTTCTTTTTCTCTCCATTTATTTCATTTTTCGTCGGCTTGTATGGCACGGAAACCAAATCCTTCAGTCCAACTCATCTATGCTGACCAGATATCCTGAATAAATCTAATCCCATTTGCCAGCATTTGGCCCATATCCCTCTAAACTCTTCCTATTCATATATCCATCCAAATGCCTTTTAAATGTTGTAATTGTACCAGCCTCCACCGCTTCCTCTGGTAGCTCATTCCATACACACACCATCCTCTCTGTGGAAAAGTTGCCCCTTAGGTCCCTTTTAAATGTTTCCCCTCTCAACTTAAACCTATACCCTCTAGTTTTAAATTCCTCTACAGTGGGGGAAAAGACCTTCACTATTCACGCTATCCATGTCTCTCATGATTTTATAAACCTCTATAAGGTCACCCCTCAGCGTCTGACGCTCCAGGGAATGTAGCCCCATCCTGTTCACCCTCTCCCTATAGCTCAAACATTCCAACACTTTTGTTTATAAAAATCAAGGAGGAACTGTTTTTTTGAGAACTGGCTGGAACAGAAACAGAAGATTAAATAAAGAGGAGGCTCCATCACATGTTATGACTGGTTACTATTGGTGATCTTGCCTTGTGTGTCACAGGTGGAACCTGCTAAGCTTCAGCAAGCCATCAGAACGGTTGTATTTAACCAGGTTTTCCTGTCGCTCCCCATGGTGGTGGTAATGTACCCCATCATGAAGTGGAGAGGTAATCCTTGTGGCACTGAGCTCCCTACTTTTCACTGGGTGCTGCTGGAGCTCTGCTTCCTTGGGCTGCTGGAAGAGGTGTTTTTCTACTATTCTCACAGGTGAGCTGTACACTCAATGCAGCACTCTGCTGCCCTGTATCTTAACCCACACCAAGTTCCATTCACTCATCACCTCTGTTGCTTGCTGGCCTACATTGACTTCCAGTGTGGTGACACCTTAAGTCTAAAATTCTCATCCATATTCACAATCTCTACATGGACTCACCCTGCCTCTCTCTAACATCCTCTTCTAATTCTGGTCTCTTGTGCATCATTCAATTTTATTCATTCTGTGATCATGCCTTCATATACCTGAACCTTAAGTTCTGGGATTCCCTTACTAAATCTCTGTCACTCTAAACACCTCCCACCCTTTCCTCTTTGTAAAATCTCTTACAACTTCAGCAAATCCTGTTAATCACATCTCCTGTTATTTCCTTTGTGTAGCTCAGTATCAGATTTTTGTTTGATCTATCCACCTATGAAAAAGCTTGGGATATTATGCCATGTTAAATGCCCTAATTAAATGCAAGTTTTGTTTCTGCTATCTGGCCAATGGGGCAGGGACATAACAGCCTCACCACACCAATGTCAGAATGAAGAATAAATGCAACACCTTTGTTTGTAATTTTTTCTTTGGAGGAGAAAATGGAAAAAGGAATATGAGGAGAAGGTGGGTAAGGTAGGGTTCGAGGAACTTGGGGAGAAAATGTGTGGGTGGACTTGAGGGGTTTGGGGAAAAGTCATGTAGGATTGAGCAAAAATCCCCATAATCTGAAATACTGGACCAAAATCCTGGACTTGGCAAATAACTTATAAAAGTTTAAATAAAAGAGACAGCTGGGCTATGCTCTGGGAAAATTACACAGACAGCTTGGAACCATTCTTCAGCCCAAAAATCCAGTTCACACATCCACTGTAAAAGAACAAACAACCAGGCCTAACACTCTCGACTGAAACTAACTTTTACTCTTTGGGCTACTCCAATCCAGACATTATGGAGCCTATACACATTACGGAGATACATTATGGAGATACCAAGACATTCAACTTCATTCAGTATTCATTCAGAGAGATATTGGGCATTCAACCTCAATCAAAATACATTTTCACCCACTCCTAACCATCAGAAAGCCAACTGCCTCAAAAGGGAACACCAGAATCACAGTGGATAACACAGAGTTGAGAGGAGATGATGGAGAACACAGTCTGTATAACTGCTAGCTCTGATCTGAAAGGGAGAGAGAGCCTTTTCAACAACAAGCACCTGCAGGAACAGCTTCCCCACAGTTTCCAGCCCCAGCAAAAGCAGCTTTGGAAACAAGAACGGTGGCTCAGTGGTTAGCACTGCTGCCTCACAGCGCCAGGGTTCGATTCCACCCTCCGGGCGACTGTGCAGAGTTTGCACATTCTCCCTGTGTCCGTGTGGGTTTCATCCAGGTGCTCCGGTTTCCTCCCACAGTCCAGAGATGTGCAGGCTAGGTGGATTGGCCATGCTAAGTTGCCCATAGTGCTCAGGGATGAGTGGGTTATAGGGGGATGAGTCTGGGTGGGATGCAGTGCGGGTTGGTGTGGACTTGTTGGGCCGAAGGGCCTGTTTCCACACTGTAGGGATTCTATGAACTATGAATTATAAGAACTACAGGGGATCCCAATGAGCTATGGCCCGAGAGCTATCTGCACAGCTATCTCCGGAGGATCCTGAATCAATCCCGAAACCTAACGGCACAGCCCTGCTCCACACCAGGGAAACCAACCTCAATGGACCGGGACCAGCAGACCTGATAACCGATGACCTCCAAAACCCACTGACTTGACTGACAAGGCCTCAGACATCTCCTGAGCTGAAAACGGGCTCGCAAAACCCCCACTGAGTAAGAAAAAGCCAAGTACTCGCCCAATAAATCCAAAGCGAGTCCTACCACATCAGCGGGCTCAACCCAGACTGAAGGCCTACACCATCCGAAGTCCTCAATGAAGCACCAGCCACGGCAGGTGGGAACGGCCTACCGTATTTCAAAATCGAGTTTGTCTTCAGTGGTGAGCTTATATTCTTGAGACCCCAAAGTATCCAACCTGGCTAGCAGGGAGGAAAAAGTGGGTGGTGACAGTGCAGGGCACCCCAGGGTTAGGGAGTCTGATTAAAGTGTCTGTGATTAAAACTACTGTTTAGTTCTGATAGTAGTTAACCTGCGTTTGATTTAATAGCGTATTTAAGTACTATCCTCTGTATAATCGATAGTGTCAGTTTCACTGTTTTGTATTTTTTTTAAATTTTCTTCTAATGTACTCACCTTTGCATTTAATAAATGCAGAAATTCTTTTGCCCCTGGAACACCTGTCTACTGCCTTCTCCACTTCACATTCCTAAATTAAGTCCAGTGCCAGAACCAGGGATCTGGGTGTGATTCGAACCACCTAAAAATATCAGCAGTTTTACTGACCATATAGTAGAACCCCTACAGAATCTGTAGGGATTCTGGTTTGTGATCAGTAATTTGCTTATTTTCAGGTGGTTCACACCCAGATCCCAGGTTCTGGCACTGGACTTAATTTAGGAATGTGAAGTGGAGAAGCCAGTAGACAGGTGTT